TCACAGTAGCTAAACTGTGGAACCAACCTAGATGCCCTTCAATGGATGAATGGATAAAAAAAAAGTGGCATATATACACAATGGAATATTACTCAGCAATAAAAGAGAATAAAATCATGGCATTTGCAGGTAAATGGATGGAGTTAGATAAGATAATGCTAAGTAAAGTTAGCCAATCCCCAAAAAACAAATGTCGAATGTTTTCTCTGATATAAGGAGGCTGATTCATAGTGGGGTAGGGAGAGGGAGAGTGGGAGGAACAGAGGAACTCTAGATAGGGCAGAGGGGTGGGAGGGTAAGGGAGGGGGCATGGGGTTATTAATGATGGTGGAATGTGATGATCATTATTATCCAAAGTATATGTATGAAGACACGAATTGGTGTGAATATACTTTGTATACAGAGATATGAAAAATTGTGCTCTATATGTGTAATAAGAATCATAACGCTTTCTGCTGCCATATATAAATAAAATGCATGCAATTTAGGAAAATGCATGGAACTGGAGGTCATCATGCTGAGCGAAACAAGCCAGACACGGAAAGACAGGTGTCACATGTCTTCTGTCATATGTAGAAACTGAAAAAAAAAAGACCCTAAAGTTGAAGAGAGGCTGTTGGGGAAGAGGACAGGGACAGGGGAGGGAGGAGAGTGGGAGGGCATAAGTGTGGGGGGTGCAGTCACAGCACAGTTTGCAGGTGGGGCAGGGTGCAGCAAAACCCCTCGAGTTACTGTTCATGATCATAGAAGGCAACATGAAGTCTGCCGTTCTCCTGGGGCTGCGATTCCCATTCAGCGTGGAGCTGGAGTGGGCAGGACCAGCCTTGCTCTGACTGTTCCCTCCAACCCCCGCCACACACACATGTCCAAGGAGCCTGGGGACAGGGACACACCCCACTCTCACCAGTCTCTAGTGTTCTATGGCTCATGTCACATTGATCCTTGAGGCTGAGGTTCAGGGACAGACCATGATCCCTGTTGGAGAATGGGGTTCCCAGAGTGGTCTGGCAGGAGGGTGAGCCCCGAGAGTGGACAATTCTGTGAGAAGGGAGGTATTTAATACTCCCTTCACCTACAAGAAGCAAATTACCAGGCATCCAGAGAAAGCTGTCAGTCAGCGTGGGCATGAGAGCAGGACCTGCAGCCAGGGGAATGGTTTCCAACTGTCGGCTAGGGGTGACTACCGTGGCCTGCAGTATGTGGGAAACATCTTGTAATATTGAGAAAGAAAAGGGGTCAGAGGCTTTTGGGAGGGAACCCTGAGGCTGATGTGGGAAGCTTAGGGAATGGGAAAGAAACACCACCAAATCCTTGCTACTGTCCATGCTTTGAAAAGCTTTCTTCTACTTCTGTGTCCTAGAAGGCTGGTACAGTGGGAAGATGAAGCTCACTTAGCCAAACAGAAAGCAGCCCTGTGTTTTCCAGACCAGGGCAGCTCTGTTGTGGGGCAGGTCGCTCAGAAAACACCCCAAGTCCCAGTTTTGTCCAAATTGAAGAGTCTTTATTTAGCCGACAGGTTAGTGACTGTTCCCCTCGAGCCTCAACATTTTAGGATACTTAAAGGCAAAATCTGCAAAAAACACATCCAGGTTGACACAGCTGCAGGCAAGCAGGTATAGAAGCTGAACTGGGCAGTCAGCAAGACAATGCAATGGGTACACTGGTCTTCCCCACGGGACTTTCCAGGTTGGCACAGCAGAAAGCAAGCAGACGGGAAGTGGGTCAAAATGACCCTAGTTAAGTACAATAGAGAATGGTAACTAATGTCTAGATAATCAATCTCTGACAAGGTACATTGCCTAAGAAACATGAGAACCAAAAAGAGAATTTTACATTGTATAAGAATTGCTATTTTGTGTTGCCAAGTATGCTATAGTAGCTACCTATTAATGGGTACAGAGGTGGGGCTTTCCCATGGGAGAAGTATTTCTTACATGATATGGAGTCTCAGGGTAAAATGGAGTCTGTTTGGTCATTGCCTGGCCCATAACAGCTTCTACAGTGGGTGCTACTTGCCAGATGCTCACTCTGGCCTGCTCAGCACCAGGGAGACTGCACCACCTTTAACCAGCTCCCAGCTGGGGTGGCTGCATGGAGCTGGTGTTCCAGGGCAGAGTTAATCCACATGTGGCTGGCCAGGGTCCCCACTTCTCTTGAACAGCTGCCAAGTACCTGTGGGGCCTCAATGTGCTGACCACGGAGATTGGCTGCAGGTAGGGTGGGGCCCACCAAGGACCCCTACCCCAGGTGGCTGTGTCCCTGCTACTGAGGCCCAGATGCCATTTGGCTAACAGCATGCAGCCTCTTGTGAGCCCAGCACTGGCCACAGAGGCCTAAGGTGCCCACAGGTGTGGCACACAGGTTCCCAAAGGCTCCTGCTTGCAGGAGCTGAAAGGATCTCAAGGGCCTGACAATGGTGGCTCCTTGCCCAGGCCACAGCCCTCTCCACTGGCTGAGGATCCCATCTCCCCCTCCCCTGTCTGAGAAGAGGCCCAGCTGAGGGACCCAGCAGGAAAGAGCCCAGCCAGGCCCCTGTGGAACAGCTCTCCTGGGAGGCGATGGTGGGGAAGGGCGCGCAGCTTGCCATCCTCCTCCCACCCTGCCAGGGCGGTGCAGGATGTGTAGGGGCCACTGCCTATTCACAGCGGGAAACAACATGCCCACCGTTGCATGCATGGCTGGGCCACTCCCTGGAGTGCCTGGCCTGCTGCTCCCCCAGGCACGTGGTTCCCGGCGTGGGGCACTGCCCCAGGAGATGGCCCCGGGGTGGGTGAGAAGTTGGGCACAGCCCTAGGGCAGGCAGTTCACCCTTTGGGCCAGCCAAGCTCCAGGGCCAGGCTCTTGCCAGCCACATCACTGTCAAGAAGGTCCTCCCAGTCCTGAGCCCGGAGAGGCCAGGTGGAGCAGCAGTACCGAGCACCAGGTGGTGCCTGCAGTGCACAGGGCTTGCCCTGTTGCTCCTGTGGGCAAGCAGGTGGGCCAGGTATGTTGGCTGCACGGTGGGGACCTCACTGCTGCCCTGTCTCATGCTATTGCCATCAAGACTGGGAGTGAGTGCCAGCAGGCTCAGGGCTGGGTCTCTGGACAGCACATATGCTGATGGATGGCAGGGGGACATTGGGTCAGGGGGACATTGCTGGGTGCAGCTTCCCCCACCATGCAGGCAGGCCCCCCACCTGCACACCCACACGTGGCCGGCTCCCTGGACGTGAGACTGAGCAGGGCCTCCTCCTCATCTGTGGGGTACAGTAGGAGACTGGAGGTTGCTGCACCGGATGGCCACTGGAGGGTGGTTAGGCCCCACGGGGAGCAGAAGTTGCAGATTTCTTTTCTTCTTTCAGCCCAGGAAGTTTGTCAACTGCAAAACTGTTCCTTGAAAGGAGAGGCTCTCTGAGTCAGGGCTGAGGGACTTCAGTGCTGACCCCAGGTCAGGACCCCCAACCCAGGGAGGAGTGGCTGCCATCTGGATGAAGAAGGCAACTGTGGCTACAGGGTAAGGGCTGTCCAGCCCACCAGGTCAGGTGTAAGCCGGCAGGTTCCCCAGGTTCAGGAGGTGGCCTCAGGAAGCAGTGTCATGGGGAAGATAAGGTTGTTCCTTCAGGGCAACACCAGGTGGTCTTTGCCTCTCTTCTTCCTTTTGCAGGAAGTGTCCCTGCCTTGTTAGAGTCTGTAAACAAGTCAAAATAACACCTGGCATTTTGCCAGGGGAATGTTAGAGTTGGTAAACAAGTCTGGATGGTGCCTGGCAAAATGCCAGAGGGAGTGGTTTGAGAAGTAACAAAAACAAGCCATTAAGTGTAGAGATTCCTTATTGGTTGACTGATGTATCTAGTTTATGTTAATTAGATAAGCTGTGTGGAATGTATAAATACTGCTCCTGTCCTGCAATAAATGGCTTCCACTCCTGCTGTATCAACGTACACAAGTTATTCGTCACCCCCCTGTTAGTTTGCTGCAGCCGGACTGTGGCACTGCCTGGCTGCCTATGGCTGGAAACTCCTGGGACAGGGGCCACACAGCAGGGTGTGGCCTCCACCTGGGCAGGGGTGTGGATCAGGCCTGAGGTGGCCCATTGTGCTGGTTAGGAAGCAGATGAAAGGCGGCTGTGCAGGACTGTGCTGAGGATCTGCAAACGAGGCGGCAGCCAGAAGACCCACGAGCCTTCCTGGGTGGCGGACTCTGCCGGTTTACAGTCAGGAAGAGGGTAAGTGCTCTGAGGTAGAGGGCTGGTCCAGGGACATGTGCTTGCGTGTGGCCAGGGAGAGGGAGGAAGCAAGAAGATGGTTCTGGGTTCAGCAGGCCCCAGAGTGGCCGGTGGGCAGTGCCTTGAGCTCCAGTCCTCCCCACATAGACCATCCTTGATCCTTCAGGGCAATAGGATGTATTAAACAGATCTAGTCACCTGCCCCTGCCTGTGCCTCTCCTGCCCACTGACTTCTGGCCAGGAGGGGGCACTGGTGACAGTTTTCAAAAGTCATATTTTGGGAAGACTACCTCCCTACCTTCTGAGCCAGCAAATAGACTCAGGTTACAGCCCCAGGTAGGGAGGAGTAGGGCCATCCAGGAGCTCCACTCCTGAAGGCTGTCCTGTGGGGGGTCTTTATGGTGCTCAATGATAAGGATGTTCTACTAGGACCCTGTCTGGTTTGTTGGAGGAAAATGCTAAAACAAGACCAAGTTCATTTTATTTGTGAAAAGCTGACTGTTCCTGCTTTTTTCAAGGCTAATTAACTCTAGAATAAGGACATGTTCTTCTTGGGTGACAAGGACTCTAGAATAAGGCCATTCCCTTCCTCCCCCAAGATGACAAGCAGCAACTAGCTGACACCCACAGGCATTCTGGCCTTTCCTGCCGGCACAGGTGTGATCTATGTTGTCCCTTCACTTGCTCCCCAGGATGTTGGGCCTGCCTGGTGAGTAGACTCCAAAGAGGGTGGGGAAGGCTAGTGCCTCGGTTCCTCAGCCCCCTTCCTGGCTACCTGGTTGCCCGACACAGCGACATGGTCTGGAGCCAAGGCCAGAACATGTCCACGCAGGGGCCCTTCATCCTTTTGGGTTTCCCGGGGCCCAAGAGCCTGCGTGTGGGGCTCTTCTTGCTCTTCCTGGTCATGTACCTGCTCACTGTGGCTGGGAATCTGGCCATCATCTCCCTGGTCCTGGCCCACCGCCGCCTCCAGACACCCATGTACTTCTTCCTGTGCAACCTCTCCTTCCTGGAGATCTGGTTCACCACGGCCTGTGTGCCCAAGACGCTGGACATCTTCGCCTCTCGGGTTGGAGCCATCTCCGTGGCAGGCTGTGCGGCGCAGATGTACTTTGTCTTCTCGCTGGGTTGCACCGAGTACTTCCTGCTGGCCGCGATGGCCTATGACCGCTATCTGGCCATCTGCCTGCCGCTGTGCATCATGACGCCTGGCCTGGCGGCGTGGCTCGCGCTGGGCTCCTGACTGTGCGGCTTCTCCGCCATCGCGGTACTCGCCGCGCTCATCGCACGCCTCTCCTTCTGCAGCTCACGCGTCATCAACCACTTCTTCTGCGACATCGCGCCCTGGATCGTGCTGTCCTGCACCGACACGCGGGTGGTGGAGCTGGCGTCCTTCAGCATCGCCTTCTGTGTCATCCTGGGCTCGTGCTGCGTCACGCTGGTCTCCTACATCCACATTATCGTCACCATCGTCAGGATCCCTTCTACGCAGGGCCGGCACCGCGCTTTCTCCACCTGCTCATCCCGTCTCTCGGTGGTGCTCATCTGGTACGGCTCCACCATCTTCCTGCATGTGAGGACCTCGGTGGAGAGCTCCCTGGACCTGACCAAGGCTGTCACGGTGCTCAACACCATCGTCACACCAGTGCTGAACCCCTTCATATACACTCTGTGGAACAGGGATGTGAAGGAGGCTCTGCTAGGACCATGAGGGGGAGTGAGGGGCGAGCTTCCCCCTGCCCTCCCCCTGGGTCGCTCTGCAGGGTGGGAGTCTGTTCTGGGACAACTACCCCACCCCTGTGGCTGAGTAGCGTCCATCACTGCCTGGATCGTCCTTGGGCCTTTGTCGTCCATAACGTTGTACAGCCCCCCTGGAAGGGCGGGGGAGTTTCTACTTCCATCACAGGGTTTGCCCAGAGGCTGGGGCTCAGGGTCCAGGCAAATTCTGGAAGAGAAATAGGGTGCAAGCCCCCAGGAGGTGTCTCCATAGTGCAGTTGCCAGGCCCTCAGCTCCAGGGGCTGGTCAGCCTCTGAGACCTGGTCATATGGTCTGGGACCAACAGACTCTCTACCACCGCCCAGACTTCACCACCCCTACCTGGGGTCTCCAGAGGTACTCACTTGGAAAAGCACACCTGAGCCCTCTGCAGTGGGCTGTCAGGGGCTGACTACAGTGGCCAGAGCACAGATGGACACACTGTGGAAGCCTCTCTGAGGGGCCTGCACAGCCTGCAAGGGCTGCTTAGGATCACTGTGTGGCTTGCCTCACACTGGGGGTCCTCAGAGCACAACTGCCAGGTCTCCAGCATCCACAGGCCCTGAACTGTGGGAACAGAGGTACAGGAGGGGTCAGAGTCAGGCTGGGGCTCTGTGCAGCTCAAGAGACCTGTTGGCTTCAGGCTCTGGTCAGACCCTCTAAGAGGACAGCCTGTTCTTACTTATTCTTGGAGCAATGTGGGTGGGGCTAGAAACAAATGACTTGGGCCAGTTATGTAACCACTGCACACCTCTGTTGCTTCATCTGTGAGCCCTGTGAAATTGCCATCTGGTGGATCCCTTGTCACATGAGATGACAATGTGTCCAGCTTAGGCCCCAGGAGTGGGCCCAGGAAGGGCTACTCTAAGGGTTATTTTCATAATTTAGCAGAACTATGTATAGGTTATCCCCCTTGTCTTTCTTATTTTATCTGAGATGACTGACAGGGGCACTGTCCTCCACCCAAAGTCCACTCTGATCTTTCAGCTATCAAGGACCCCTGAGAACTAGACTCTCTCTAGTTGGCCTGGATGAAAAATGAGGGGTGCTTACTTGGAACTTAGCAGGGCCCAGTAAAACTGAGTTTGCACTTGGAGCTACAGGTCCACCCAGGCCCCATGGTTGGCTGTGTGGTCATCCAGGTGGCGGGGGCATGAGATGGCTGAGCCCTAGCAGTGGGCTGGATTAGAGCTGCTGTGCAGAGGGTCCGAGCCCCAGCCCTACTGCCCTCTCTGCTTCTTAGGGGGTGCTGGAGCTTCCCAGAGCTGAAGCAGGGCCTGCTGATGGAGTCCCTGGGTCTTGGCTCAAACACCACTTTTCGGGCTTATCACAGACCTGCCTCCTTTAACTGGCCTTCATCTCCTGTCCCTGTCCATTCCTCTTCAAGGTCCAATCTAATGCCTCTGTGCTCTGCCCTCTTCTCTGGTGTGGGAGCCTAGGTGGGGTTTGGGTTCTGATGGCTCCTCTTTGCAGTGACCTGTGCCCAGGATAGGGCAGGCCACAGGGGCTTGTAGGCATCTGCCCAGGGCCTGGAGGAACCATCACCCATGCCAAAGTTGGTGTTCTCACAGGCCTCCTTCTCCTGGGGCCAGAGAACACACCGACCCCAGGGACTGCACACTAGGCCATCCGTGGCTACTGATAACTGTGTAGTGTTTGTGCTTTTTTTGTGGTACCAGGGATTGCACTCAGAGGCACTTGACCACTGAGCCACATCCCAGACCTATTTTGTATTTTATTTAGAGACAGGGTCTCACTGAGTTGCTTAGCACCTTGCCATTGCTGAGGCTGGCTTTGAACTCACGATTCGCCTGTCTCAGCCGCCTGAGCCACTGGGATTACAGGCATGTGCCACCGTGCCAGGCCATGTTTGTGCTTTTGTGCAGTTACTTTTCAAGTGAATTAACAAGCACTCTGATTTCATCAGTTCATGTCTTTGCTACCTAGATGGGGTCAGTAAAGGCCCATATTACAAGGGCTTGATGATCTCTCAGCTATACCTGGGGGAGAGGGGCAGTGGTGGGAGAAGCAGGAACCCACACTGGGACCTGCTGTGCAGCAGCCACAGACCGCAGCAGGGCAACCTCCTCCTTCATTGCTGCAGACTAGCTAGAGGCCAGAGATGCTGAGAAGCAGCACCAGTGTCATCTGGAGTGCAAGACCCTGCTTCACTTCTGGAGGGCAGGGCCCTCAGATCCTGGGAGGAACAATTCACAGGAGAAAAGACCTATTTGTTTTTATAATCAAATATTTATTCGTATTATCAATTCAGTAATTAATAGGGACTCGAGTGTCCTTTCTCATATAGAGAAACAAAAAGCAATTGGGTGGCGGGGGGTTGTAGGGGAAGAGGTCTATCGGGCTATTTTCCAATCTATAGATATGTAGTAATAACAGCCAACAATTACACTATGTTTGCCAAGTACCAGCAACTCACAAGCATATTTGCAGATTGTAACTAATTTGAGCTGCACAATAGCTATGTAGGAGAGATACCATCATTAACCCCACTTTGCAGATAAAGAATGTGGTACCAATGGGCTCAGGAACTTGTCCCAAGTCACATAATTAAAATGCAGCATAGGTGGGATTTAGCTGGGGCAGGCTGTCTTCAGAGTCCCTGCACCAATGCAGAGTGCTGCTCTGTTTCTCCTGCACAGCAAAGTAGTACGATGCCAGGTGGGAATGGGAAACTTTACATTTGAACAGGGTCTGAAAACCATGTAATGAGCATTGTATTAGCAGTTCTATTTCCATTTTCTTAAATAGATAAAACCATTTTTATGCCATTTTCTTGTCTATTGGAAACCACCAGTTTAAAGAGGAACAAAACAGGAAAACCTCCAGTTAAAAAGATTTCAGATAAGTATATTTCAGGAAATAATAATTATACATTCAAAGGAATGTTGGTCTCTTTGAATTGCCCCTGATAAGCTAGACTCTTACTTAGCAGTTCTAGAATTTCCCCCTAACTCAGAACAATGATCCTTGCATGGGTGTGCATTTAGAACTGCATGTGTGTGCACTTGTGTATGCACTGTATGTCATGCACACGTTCTCAATCGTGGACAACTTCTGTTCTCTGAAGATGGATTTTATTTGCAGATAATCAAAGTATTTGAGCCAAGTTGAATTACAATTAACAATATTTATTTGAAGTAAAAAGAAGTTTTGGCTGAAAATAATGAAGTGGCCTTTTAAACATGTGGTTATCAACCATGACATTTACTTTTTTTTTAAAGAGAGAGAGAGAGAGAGAGAGAGAGAGAGAGAGAGAGAGTTTTTAATATTTATTTTTTAGTTTTTGGTGGACACAACATCTTTATTTTATTTTTATGTGGTGCTGAGGATCGAATCCAGTGCCCCGTGAATGCCAGGTGAGTGCCACATCCCCAGCCCCCATGACATTTACTTTTGCTAACAAAGGATCCAGATATCTTTGAGATTTAATTCCAGAAGGTTGGACTTCTCCCTCCATCTCCCCTACAGGGCAATTATTTTGCTCCTCTTCATTAGTAAGTTAGAAATTGGATGATAACTTGTTTGAATAAGAACTCCATGCTGTTTTCTAGATTATGCAATACTAGGTATGCACTGTGTTAAAACAAACAAAATCCAGAATTCAGATGTGCTGCTATGAGGTACACATTTCAGTCATCCAGTGAAGTCTGCCTTCATTCACAGTTTATCAGAAGAACTGAAAAGATCTGTTTTGGTCCCTGACTTTACTCCATGCTTGGGCCTGTGGTGAGGCAGAGTATCATGTTGGATAGGGTAAGGTGGAGCACAGCTGCTCACCTCATGGTGGCTGGGAAAGAGAGTGGTGGGGGCCAGGGACAAGCTAGAGTCTGCAAGGCACACCCTTAAGGACATGCTACCTCCAACTGGTTCTCATTCAGTGGATTATTCTGCCAGTGAGATCAGAGCCCTCACTTCCCCAAAGCCTCCTCTCTGAATACTGCTGCACTGGGGACCAAGCCTTCAACACATGAGGCTCTGGGGGACATTCCAGATCCAAGCTGTGACAGAGTGATTCAGATGCTGACTTGGGTCACCTTTCTCTGGTAAGATGAGCGGGATGCCCCCACAGTTTCCAGTTAAGCAGCATGGCTTCCTGGTCCTCTGTGACTCGGTGATGGCAGACTCAGTGCTGAGTGCAGTGCTAGGTCAAGGGCAAAGCCAACCTCCAGCTCCGTCTCACAGCTGTCAACTCCCCTAGAAGAAAATTGGTTTCATTCCCCTCCTTTCTTTTATTGTTGGCCTTTCTTCCAGCGAGGCAACTCACTGTAGCTGCTGGGTGCTCTTCTTTACAGGCCTGGTGGCTTAAAGGTGCTTTTGAGGGTGAACCGGCCATGCGCCCAACTTGCTCCTTGCTGTGGGGTGGTTTGTGCTGGCCACTGTGCGGTGGCTGGAGTTGGGCTGTCGACTCTGGCTTTGGTAGAGATTTGAAAGATGAATTTGGGAGAGTAATAACTGCTTTAGGTGCCCCTTGAACAGGGGTGCAGCTGAACCATGTGGATGGGGCAGGTGCCAGCCTGGTGACTGCATGATGGGGGCTCAGGGGATGGGTAGACCAGGGAGGGCCCCCCCCCCCCCGACAGCCTCAAAATGTAAGCACACTGGAGAGAATGGAATCACAGATCTCAGACCATTCCCTTCAGTACATTATAACCGCACGTCCAGTCTCCTCTTGTCTTCACCCCCGTCCTTCCTTCCAGGTCACTCAAGGTCAGTACGTCGTAATACAGTTTTATGCATGAGGAGAGCCAAGGACCGAGGATGTGGTTTGAAAACAATAAAGTCATGGTCACACTGAAAACCGCAAGGCATCTGCGCTCCTGGATCTTTCTCTTCCGCTTTGTGGCCTCTTGGCTGCTCTTTGTGGTTGAGCCTTACGGCTTTCTTCACTGGGATGCAGGTCAGTTACAATGAGAACACTCAGTTCAGGGTCTGCT